ATCTTATAAACTACCAAATTCTATTTTTAGGTTTTCATTTACTACAGTTGAAAATTCTCTATGCTTTTTTCAACCCAATATGTTACGACGACGGTTGTTCTAATACTATCAACCTTAACTTGAAAATAAATATCATTTGTTTTAATCATGACATACACATCTTTAAACCGTCTTCCGTCACTCAGCCGCCAAAACTAATCATTTTTATTCGTTGTCTATCGAAACGTATATTTTAAAATAAGTTTCCAATTAACTGGCAACGTGTTTCAGTTCTGCCGTCTTATACGCTACAGCTATTAATTAAAAAAGTAATGGTATAAATAATCGTGTAAGCTCCTTTCTTGACTATCTTGGATAAATCGATTTCCAAACAATCACAAAATAATAAGAGTAAATTACATAAATAAATTGAAATATTGGGCTAGAAAAATACCAAAGAAACAATAAGTTATGTTCGCTTTAAGTCATAATAAAATGGCGCTTGCAGATGAAACATTGATAAAATCAGTTGCACTTTTAACACCTCGAGGAGGTGCTACACTTTGTATAATTAATGTTTGTCGGGTATTTTGGCGGAGGATACGTCATGTGTAAAAAAACGCTGTGGAATGTGTATAATGATTTCCAAGTGAAAAATAATTGCCAGAACGCTTCGTGATAGAGACTTGGCGATGCGGAAAATCAACTCAGGCACTGCACTGCGCCAACGGTTGTTGCCCGTGGGCTAATGACTTTTCGACCAGATAAGCGATACACGTATAAATAAGAGATTTGAAAGAAACACCACAATGAAGGAACCGAATGAGAATGAAGCGAAAAACTTTTAAATGATAAAAAAACTGGATATCATTCCCAAGGCCACGGGCACGGTCGTTTTCTCCAGGGGACGGGCACCAGCAACGGCACACATCGTAATCGGTTATGCAATGATGAGCAAATCGTTATGATACAATGTTATTATTTTCCAGTTATTTCAAGTACATTAGTGCATAATGTGCACCCACTAGGTCGACCCACTAATAACACTAAAGCGGTACTGCAGATCAACATCCGATCACGTTATGCACGACATGGAATATACCGGAATTTTTCCATTAAGTTTGCTGTGCTATCTTCCAAACATCGATAAGCGAGCCTAAGGACTTTTGACCGGGGGACGACGACCCAAGTATAAATATCCAAATTATAATCTCTCGTGAGAAACACACGGGCAAAGAGATGTTTCTTCTAGTGGGTGGCTGTGGTGCCGGTCAATAAACTAATAGCTCGGATGAATCGAAGCCGACAGCGAAAACCGGCTGGTCGCTTGAAACGTTTTATTACGAGTAGTTTAGGAGAATAGAAAAATAAACGATAAAAAAAGTTATTAAAGAAAATCTAATATCATTGCGTCCAAGTTAAAAGTCATCTCACGAATATAAGGCAATGACTGATTTATAGGGAAAAAAAAATTATAACACATCAGGGTGGATTAATAAAGTAATGTAAAAAAACGTTGGCGAGCAAAGTCTGGTTTCCTTATGAGGACAATAAAATATCACATCGGCCGTCGCTTTAAGTGCACTGACCCAATACGGTGTTCGCTTACACACACAAACTCTGTTAAAATACATATACCTTATTATGCCTGTGGTCTGCGGCCTGTACGCAGCTTGTACACGCGTCTGTGTATTATTTTTTCCCATGGGCACGGGACACCATTTGGCACCGGCGGTCGTTCCGCATTGCTAAACTCATCTTTTTCTGCACGCCATTAAAACGACAAGTTCAACACACATCGTATCGTATGAACAAAGACAAAAATCAAATGTGCTCGGATTATAACGCGGAAAACAAACAGCGATCAAAAAAGAATGACCCAGGTGTTTTTTTTTACTTTGTTTACTCTTCTATAATACCGTCAGAGACAAACGACGTTTCCGTTTCAGAACCGCAATCGGAAACACTCGATATCTCATTCTTCTGCTCAAATGAACCGCGTATTTTCACTGGCGGTGTTAACATTTTCTAGTGTATTGACACGCGGACGTCGTCAAGTATACAAACATAACAGAGCACAAATAGCAATTACGATTTTTGAAACCCAAAGTCAGGGCCCCAGGCGTAGTAGGTTGCCTTGTGTGAACTCACTACGATATATTTTTACAATATGCTATTTCTTTGACAAAATACATTGACTCTTTATACCCGTGTTACATATAAAGTACAATGCGACGATACAAGGTCTCGAGCTTATTGTAAACGGTCACGTTTATTCAAATGCGACTGTCTCGGGAGACTATTTCATGATCAACCGATCCTAAATCGAAATCATCGCCGTAGCTATTAGTAAACATTGGGATTTATGTTTAAATTACCAAATTAAAATAATCAATTAATGACAAATAATATCGACCTCGATTACTGCTCGAAAAACCATCGTATGTTTTAAGTGAACAAGTCATTCTTTACAAATATTTATTTACAAACACAATATGCAAATATCTCGTAAAATGATACCGTATATGGACATTTTTCCAGTGCTGATTAACATTCATTTTTGTTTTCGGACCGACAATTACATTAAAATGTCTCTTCTCTTAATAATTTATTAAGAATGTCTATAGTTGTACTACGATCTTCCGTGCGGACGCAAAAGGAATTAATAACCTTGTCGGTCGGCCCACGCACTGATCTCTCGTAGTTCTTAGTGAATCCAAAAGTTAAAACGAAAGGAAAATCAATTGTAATCTTCGCGACATCGTTTTTACAGCGCTGTAGNGTCGGCCCACGCACTGATCTCTCGTAGTTCTTAGTGAATCCAAAAGTTAAAACGAAAGGAAAATCAATTGTAATCTTCGCGACGTCGTTTGCCGCGCTANTTCGCGACATCGTTTTTACAGCGCTGTAGTAATTCACTCGGTTAAAAAAGAAAACAGAAATGACCAAGTGGGTTTCTGAAAACAAACATGTACATTCTTAGCTGAAATTTTATTTTAACGGCTATTATTGAGTCGATGACCACTGCGATTGGCGCTATTGGGCAGACCCGGTGGTATCTAGCAGCTTTATGACGCGTGTCTGCATGTCGCTTTTTAATAGATGCCCCCACGAACGCCAACGATATATAAGTATTTATATCCGTTAGACTTATCTAAAAATAGCACTAAAAAAATATCTAATAATAATATTGCTATTATAATAATATAAGGATTCACACGGGATAACAGCACAATAACATGTATTTCGGTACCGCCCATCGAATTTTACTTGTAGTATGCTATCACTCGGAAATAGTATAATTACTACTTAATAGCAATAATGGTACACTTTAGTTTTGTGCGTATTAACGGTAAATCGCGTGAGCTTCCACGGTCAGAGCCCCAGAAAAATTAGGAAATATTAAGTGAAGCTAATGACCTATGAAAAATGAACCGGACTGAACACAATGACAATAAATTTTTCTCATATAGAATTACCTTTTATTGCATTTAAGAGTATTGGTAGAAATATAATTTGGTTCAATGTAGTTTTCAATGTTAACATAACTATGCTATCATACAGTTTCTCGCTTAACTTACTAAAATGTTTAAAAACGATGAACCGAAACAATTTCAATGAATATTTTATAATATAAAGAACTATATTAATCTGCATAAAAACAACATAATTATCAATTTAGAGTCGAGTATAAAAATCTCTCAACTCTTTTAAAAGTCTCAAAGTAAAATATGTACATTTTCTATTTGTTTTAATATAATAAACATGTTCACGTTACAACAGATAATTTTATTTTCTGAAAATAAAATCACGTATTTTTACTATAATTACTGTGACTGAAGACATCGCAAAGGAGTTATGGTTCACTGCCACACTGCCAGTAATTATAATATTAAAAATTTAATGATTTTACTTTATTGTATACATTCTAAAAGTACGCTTTGCATAATAACAATGACCATCAAAACCGTTAAATAAAATATCTTCGCGATAGTGGAAATGTTCTCATTAAAACGGCTACGGCTCATTTAATTTTGCACGACAAAAAAAAACTTCATTAGGCTTCTTCATTGATAAAAATCCAAATCACAAAAAATAATTTAAAACATCGAAAAATCCTGTTTCCTCAACGGGCATTTTTCCTTTCAAATGACTTCTGTGTATTTTAATCAGAGAAAATTTCCTAGTAAAATGAGTGGATGCTTTGCGAAAGAATAACTATTACTTACTATCGAACATTTCTTCAGAATTATAATTTTATAGGCTATTTCATAACGGTTTAAATCAAAGTCTTTGACCCGTAGGCTTTTGATACGAATAATTAGACATTAGTTTTTGTAATACTGTCCAATACACTGGTATGTCAATATATTGTAGATTTATACAGAATTGATGTCGATCGATGTGAACATTTTCGACTTGAATGTTTTCTAAAGTACATAATAATCATGTTGCATGGTAATGTATTAAAAAAACTCGGTCGTTGTCCGTTATATTTCATTGTTTCATCGCGGTATTCCTGAAGTATGTAAGTGCCATCAAAAATCGTGTGAAATCCTCCACTATCATATTTTGCACGCGTAACCTAATGAACGCATTATGGTCATCAAACCTGCGGTGCAATGACTGGTTTGTCCGGTGTGTATAGTGATAGGCACTCAACGTTCACACATACTACACGTTGTTCTGGAAGGTTTTTCACTAATACGGTTAATCTAACGGTACCGCGGTAAAGTGCAGACACCACTGGCTAATACACATACGCGTTATTTAATAAATTACATATTATCAACGAACAATTTATTTCGGAGTAACACGTTTTTCGATCCTCCAGGATTATGACTATTATACGCCATACAGTTATAATTTATTTAATTGTACTAATATTAAATATTGTTACTTGAAAAACGTGTTTCACCCACTGATCCTCGAGTCTTAGTCCATCGCAAAGTTATTATCATTGTTATTCATTCAGTTGATTAATTGTGAAATAATTGACAACATTTTTATTTTTTTTTCAGAGCGATGCTAGGCATGGCTCTAGGGAGTGATGCTCCCACGAGCTCCTATGACCGTAGCCGGTTAACCGCGGCTATCCTGTTAATAGTTTTTGTAGCACTCACCAAGTCCGGTAAGTAAATCTAATTTCACGTTTTATTCGGTTTTGCTATAAAAATAAAATGCATAAATGCAAAAAAAAAATACAGCAAACATATGAGTTAAATTGACGTCTGTCACAGGTTTCAATATAAATGGTTTTCACGTTGTAGTATACGTTACATTCTATAACTAACAATTAAATAAATTAATAAATTTAACTAATTAACTTCTAGATACTTTTAATAACATTTCATATAGCATTAAATATATATATATATATATATTTATTTAACATTATCATAACACATAAAATATTGTAATAATCTTCTTATTACTATAAATCAGAGTTAGTTTTCAGCTTAGACCCGAAGATTATTTTTAATTTTTTTAAGAGCGATGAGAAGTGATCTTTCTTCTTATCGATTAAAAGTGTAATAATGTAGTGTTAATGGTAGGAATTTATCTGTAAAATAAGAACTTTAAGTTAATGTAAGGTTGTTTCTTAGACCTGTCTAACATTCCTCACGAAAAATGTTTATTTAGTTGAAAATTTTAGCCCATAAAGTACAAATCGGCAAAGAAGCCATTTTTTGCTCATTACTCTATTATAATGAACTATACGCAGGCAAATGTATGTGTAACTTAATTCTGGTTACGTCTAGTAGATAACAATTTTATGTTCAAATAAGTCATTTTCTAATATATAACTGGTCTTTATATACATTTTTCATTTTATAACGAGAATTAGTTATAATAATATTTAGTCAAAGATTCAAGAAGCTTAATATTTTCCTAAATCATATATAGTTATTTTACGTATTTAATTATTAAAATCGAGTCCAAGTAGTATTTTTCCCATCATTAAAGTGTAATTATATTACACTAAAAAATAATAAATATTACATTCATTTTCAAATTATTAAAATTTTATACAGAGTATTTAGTGTACATTGAGTGTTCAGTAAGTAAGAAAACAAGTTTCTATTGTTCTTATTGCTTGTAACAATTAACCTGTTTCCTTACTTCTTGAACACCTAATATATATTTAATAATAAAAAAGCTCTGATTAAGAAGTAGTCAGTAATTAAAATTAAATTTGTATTGTCTTATTTCATAAATTATCTTTTAGGCAAAAATTCAAACTACTAATGTCTTATGTACTATGTATATTATCATGGGAATTTCATTAAAAAATGGACATTTTAAACCGTTACAATATTTACAGAATTTCAAGTGAACCGACCAAGTACTAAAAATATTTGTATTGTTTATTTATATGTAGCGTTAAATTAAAACAATAGCAAAAAAATACAAAAACGTTCCCAAAATATTTTTTAGGAAGCTTCATCATAGATATTTGAGTATTTTAACAATAAAATGACCCCAAAGTTACGAATTAACAACTGTACTATTCGTACTAATCATAATCGTATTGGTTTATATTGTTATATTTTATATTCTTTATGGATTATAAAAGTGAATATTTTATGCTTTATTTTTTAATTAAAGTTCAGCAATAATTTTATATTTTTAATTTTTCTTCTATATAATTAAATTTGTGATCTATAACTTTATGTATTATTATTATCTATTCATAAATAAACATTTATTTTCAATAATTACTTTGTCTACTGTAAATGCATAATATATATATAGATATATATATATATATATATTATACATACTTCAACTCCATCTAAGGATATGGTTAGTTATTTTACATGATTTTTCATTCGAGCTTACTTTTAAATAACCGGATCCTTATATTTATTGCACCACAAATATTAGAGTAATACTACATTATCAAACATTCTGCGAGTTAAAATGTGAAATATGTGACATCATATTCATTGTGTTCACAGTATAAATCTCTGATAATATTTTACAGATTGTAAAACATTTTTCGCCTTTTTTACAATAATATACACGTAATCTTTTCATTACAATAGTGACATAAACGATGCAATATATCAAAATCAGTATTTTGTGTGTTACTGACCCATCAATGACTGATATTATAATATAAAATATTACACAAAGTCCTTTCAAATTAATTAATTTAATTATTGTTATTTTATATTTAAAAAAGCAAAAATATATTATGTAAGTAAAAAATTTAAAGTTATGTTAATTGTTTTTATCCAAGTATAGTGTTTTTCATAAATTAATTATGAACTATTCTTAGTCTACTTTTAATAAACTTACTTCGAAAGAAAGTTTTTAAGTTAATATGATATAGCTCATTATTTTATTTCAATTATAATAAGATGAAATGAAATTATATTTATTACATTTTCAAGAAGTTTTTTTATGAATAATTTTAAGACTGTATTATTGTTTTTATGTTTCAGCTCCAGCAACAATTGGGGAAATTGAGCCAAAAAAAACTGATATTGCCGAGTATTTTTCAAGTACGCAAAATACTTTTATTAAACATTATCATTTTTAGATTGTTAAAAACAATTAAATTACTTGAATTTTTTAACTCCGAAATAGAAATATCAATATTTATCACTTACATTGTTAAATTAATATTAAACAAAGCAGATTTCTATAGGCTAAATTTAACATTGAACTTCCGAATACTATTTTATAAATTTATAATAAGGCAGCATGGTTATGCAAAATACCTACACTAGAGTCAATAATATCACATGATTGTATCTAATATACTACGTAGTTGTTAAGCAACAACCTATTTTGCCCCAAATCAATAATATTTGAATAATTATTTCCTTTTCTAAATTTATTATTATTATTTACTTTTCATTTAATTCTGTGGTTATTTGCAAAAAATTTAATTATCAATTTTAGAAGAGCAAAAATAAATTTAAAATTTAAATGGCATTTTAACGAAATCGACATATTACAGGTGATAAAACCAACCTTATCGTTAAAATAGTTTTAAAAACTTATTACATTTTATTAAAATTTAATCATAATATTTTTACAAACAAAAGCACACATTCATTTTTAAATAATATATGATAATAAATCTCAAAACCCTATATTTGTGACATATTAGCTTTTTAATATAAGCCATACAGTTATGTTATATCAAGTCAGCTTAGAATTATTTGTACACCTAATATTTGTAAAATGTTTAAAATAACTCGCCACATAATATAATAAGTGATAATATGACATAAACTAAAATAATACCAAATATTTGTTTGTAATTTAACTTTTTAAAATGCTAAATTTTAAGCATCTTATTATAACTCAATTTTCAACAGATTTAAATGGCTGCTTCTACAATTACCAACATTACGATGAAGGTGATCGTATTGTTACCAGTGAACCATGTTTGAATTGTACATGCCATAATCGAATGTTAATGTGCTTTTTGAGGGTGTGTCCTTTCACAAAAGCCATAGGACAAGACTGTATCGTAGAAAAATCACCGGATCAATGTTGTCCAACAATCACTTGCCCTGAAGGTATGTTACATTTATAAAATTGATTATTGTTTCTTTACATCAATAAGCCATCTAGTTGGTTTTTATGACGTTACAGTACCTGTAGAATTATTGACTAGCTCTACAACACAAATACCTACAACAACTACAGTGGGGTGGCGAGACAACTATGGATGTATAATGAACGATAATGAATTTTTCGCAGATGGCGCACAGGTAAAGTTAAAAATCTTGAATTTATTTATGAGATTAATACTAATAAATAATATTTATGTAGCTACCTATTGATTTAACAAAACCTTGCGAACTATGTTATTGCATACGAAATAGAACAGCTTGTGTAATGCAAGAGTGCACGTTACATGTTGAAGGTTGTAGACCAGTATACTTAGATGGTGTTTGTTGTCCTGTTCGATATGATTGTGGTAAGTTTACAATGGAATCACATTTTATTAAAAATAAAATACAAAATAAAAATATTATAAATTTTAAATTATATCATTTATACATATTGAAATTTATCTATTAATGTAGGTGTAATAATAAGGTTTTAATAATTTAATTCTTCAACGTTAGACAACATAATATTGCTCTTTAAATTACCGTTTATAGTAGATTATTAAAAAAAAAAAAATAACTATTAAAAATCTTTATAACAAATTTTTGTGGATTTAAGTAAAATATTTTATTAATTTCTTTTAGATTACGAAAAAGATAAACCAACAACATCTGCACCTCAAATTACTGGTGGATTAGTATTTTCTACAACATCTGCGCCATTTGGTTGTCGTGTAAATGATGAAGTATACAATGATGGAGAATCGATACCAATGCTATCTGAAAAACCGTGTCATCATTGTTATTGTATGAGAGGTGACATTGTTTGTGCTGTACAAGATTGTGGAGAACCCCTCAGAGGAAAAGACTGTGTTCCAGAACCTACACCAGCCGGTCAATGTTGCCCAACTTCATATCGATGTGGTATGTAAAAAAAAATATTTTTATCTAATCTCTTAAAAGATTATATTAATTTAATCTTTTCTAAAATTTTAGCAAACGACACGATTAATTCAGACGATGTAACAACTCTCACACCAGTTATGTCTACATTCTCCGATGAAAATGAAGCTGAAAAAAATCCATCTCTCGAAGAAGCCTATCAAAAGCTAGGAGAAAATAAACCAGCTCTACCATCTGTTTTGGAGGATGAAAGTATTGGTGTCGAAAACACAGAAAATCCTATTATTAAAAATGAATTATCCACCATTAAATACGAAGTCTCAAGCAGTTCAACGAGTATAGGTACTAATAACCCTGAGAATCAATTGGGTTTCGATATTTCAACACAAATTAATGAACAAAATAAATTAAACGTCATGAACCCAGATAAGACAGAAAAAATTGATGTTAACGAAAATGTTGAAAATGAAGGGGCTTGGACAACTACTAATCCTCCGATCAATGAATATACAAATAGTTATACCACTAATCAGTCATCAGTTCATAAAGTTCAAAACTCAACTATTGATAAAGATAATAAAACTGGAAGTTTTATTGAACCAATAAGTTATGATAAACACGTAACCAATTATCCTACATACACAACACTAGAGAATTCTGCAACAGAAATTGCTGCAATAGAAAACACATCAGATAATACTACAGCAGTTGTTAATAAAAATAAACCACCAGCAATAAACAACCAAGAAAATACTGAATCAACTTTATCACTTAACACTATGACAACAGAATCTCCAAACGAAGTGGATCAGTCAACTATTAAAGAAAACAAACAAGAAAACTCGCAAAATTCACAAGACAATAAATATAACAATACAAATGATCAACAAAATACAAATGACAACATTCCCACTACAGAATTATTACATAGCACAAGTGAAAAACCAATATCTTCACAAATTAATCAAGAAAACGTTCAAATGCACCATGGAGGAGATAATTACTCACCGACAGAGATCCCAACAAGTAGTTCGCAAATTAGCAGTTCATCTGGCCCACAAGAAGAAAATAATGTTCCGATCGAAGTTTCGACAACTACTCCACAAGTCTCAAATAATCAAGATAATAACCAAGAGCAACATAATGAAAACACGTTGCCAGCTGAATTCTCACCTAGCACAGAAGAATCATATATAAGTCAAATTAATTCACAGAATGAAGAAGGTTTAACGCCAACTGAAATTCTTTTAGACGGTGAACATGAGCCAATACATCAAAATCCTGAAGAAAATATCCAAAAAGATGAAGTAAATACCGAAAATTCTATAGTAGATAATAAGCCAAACAATATTATTAGCGATTATAAACCTGCTAACGAAAATCTAGCACACAGTAGCACTCAGTCAGATTCTAATGCAGAACTAACTGTTAACGAATACGAAAATGCAGTTACGCAATCCACTGTTCTCCAGGATAATAAAAAAGTACCTAATGAACAACCAATCGAAGACCACAACATATTTATGGTATCACCGTCATCTCCGCCACTCTTTGCTCATGACCAAATTAAAGAAATTGAATCGCACACCTTAATTATTTCAAACGCCAACAATGAACAACACTCAACTACTGAAAATATTCAAAATGATATCATTCAAACTTCACCACCTTCATCCGAACATGAATCAAATGGAAATCCGTCAGATGATCACAAAGAAAATTTTGATGAAACTAAGCCAATTGTAAACGACATTGAAGAAAGTATAACGACAACCTTATCAGATAGTTCAACGACTAATGCTGTAGAATATAATAAATTAGTCGAAGAAAATTTAAGTGGTAATACTGATCAAATTAATACAGATATTGAAACTTCTACAATTAAACTGAATACATATGATGGTACTAACATAACCACCGATACTCAGAAAAAACCTTTGGAAGGTTCATCTGAGATTTCTTTAAGTAACAATGTTACGAAACAACCAATAACCACCAATGACCATGAATATTCACCTAATAATCTCGAAGTTATACCAAATTCTACACCTATATATCAACAGCAAATTGAAGACAATAACATTCCAAGTCAACCAAACACTCAAAACTTAAATGAACCAATAAAAATACATAATGATTTAGAAATATCCACCGAAACTGACTCGATAAATGATTATTCATCTACACCTAATAAAAATGAATATGTATCAAAAAATCCTGAAATAGAAAATTATGAAACTACTCAACATGAAACTTACATAGAAACCACAAGTGCAGTTTTACCACAAACAAATCCAAATGTAGTATCATTTTCAGAAAAAAATGATAACAATATTATTACAGAATCAGCTTTAAATCTAGCACCCGATGTAACAACGATATCACCCGAAAAAAATCAAGACAAAATCAATGGAAATGATGTATCTAATACCAATAATGAAATAGAAAATGAAAATATTTTCAACTCTTCCAATCCTCAAACTATTAGTTCAAACGTTAACATTGGATCTGGAAATTTAGAATCAACAAATCAATTCATAGACAACATTGAAACAACCATTAATCCAACATCTAGTTCATTAAATAATAATGAAAATTCTATTAACAATTCTTCTATTGGTATATCTAATATTACACCTGATAATTTGAATAATAATGAGATACTAACTACAAACGTCATGGAAAATATCTCAACTGACGCTCCATATAACCATGAAAGTATTGATACAAGCACTAATAGTATTTTTACTCAAGATTATCAAGGTTCTCACATATCATCTACAGAAATCAACTCCAATGCAGAATTACCAAATGCTAATGAAGTTCTAAATTCTAATCCTGAAACTTTTACATCACCAATTGAAATTGAAGGAAACTCGAATGAATCATCAGTCACTCAAGTGCCTTCTACATCTGACGAAATATCTGGTGATGGTGTCGATAATCAATCAAATTATTCTCCAACAAAAACTGAAGAAGAAACAATATCAACTACTGATAAATATCCTGGAGAGAAATTCGACGAAAGCTCTACTCAAATAAATAGCAATCAAAGAGTACCAGGAGAAGGTAGTTGTTTGGTTGATTTCGTGACTTATCCCCATAAAGCTGAAGTACCTAAATCAAATCCATGTCATGAAAAATGTGAATGCTTAAACAGTATCGTGACATGTACATCAATTGAATGTCCTCCGCCTCCACATCATCATAAAAATTGCATACCTTTACATCCAGGAAACGAATCTTGGTGTTGTCCTACTTACATGTGTGGTAAGATAATTTAAACAATTAATATTTTATTAAATGATAAAATAATTCCGCGTTATATTATGTAAAAAAAAAACATTTAAAACTTAACTGTTTTTTTTATGAAATACCTAATTATTAATTAATTCATTAAAAACTGTTATCCAATTTTGAATATATTTTCCAAAAATATAATAAGTCATTTTTTATTTAGCTCTACTAAATAAAATTTTGTTTTGCAGATGGTGGTATTGAACAGGGATTAATTTTTGAAAGCCATAATCAAATAAGACCTCAAGATTTTCCAACTGAAATATCCAAAGATAAGCTAACACAAGAAAATGACGCAAATAGTAATGCAAATGATCAAGAATATAGTACCACTCAAATATATGAAGCTTTTGAACAAGGCACATCTTTACCGCCTCAAGATGACACGACTTCTAATAATAACTTAAATGATAATTCACAAATTTTCGAAGTTCCGAGCCAAACTGTATCAAATAAACTATCAGACAATCCTTATGAGCCTGAACATAATACATTCGTTGAATTAACCACTGTATATTTGAAACCAACAGAAAATAAAAACCCTGATGCAATACAACAATTTGAAGAATTAACAACCCTATCGTATGAAAATAATAAACCAACAACAATAGAAAACATAGCAATTTCATCTGATAGTATAGAAAATCAAAGTCTAACTATAACCCCAATCTATCAAAGTACAGAAACACAACCTGTCAGTAATATTGAAAATGAAAATGTAGAAAGTATTCTTACTAAAGTTGAGTCATCGGGTAAGGAAAATCAAACAATTCCAGAAATTACCAATTTAAATGAATCAGAAATGTTTACAACTTTTAAACCATATGATTCTGCTATTTATCAGAATAATAATAATGTACCAGAAAACGAAGAAATTAACGTAAAGATTAATTTAACGGAAAATTCAAATTCTACTAGTAATCAGATATATAATGAAATTGTAGATATTAAACCCACACAATTACCTATTGAAGCCATACCAAATGATATTGCACCTACCCGTATAGATGAAATTATATCCTCAGTCAATTTAGTTAAAGATGTAGTTAAAAACTCAATGGAAACTTCATCCAAACCTACAGAAATAACATATCTATCCACTGACATAATACAAGAAAATAATTACGAAACAACAGTTACCCCTGAAGAATCAACAAAACCTTCTTCTTCGAATGAACCAAATAAATATATATCATCTCAAACGACTTTAGGAAATCTTGAAACAGAAATAAGTACATTATCCGAAACACTTCATTACACAGAATCACCCAATAAAGCGTCAAACTCTGAACTAGGAGCTTCGACATATACACCCACTGAAATTTCTAACAAACAAGACACATCAATAAATAATATAAATATAACCTCTTATGAACATGAGATTATAACAAATGCACCATCTATTCTATCCGACGAACAAGAAATTTCAACAAATACACCACAGATTATATCTGACAAAGAAAAATATTCAACAAGTTTTCCAATAGAAACAATAAACGAACAAACGATTTCAACTAATACTCCTCTAATACTAACTAATGAACAAGAAAATGTTTCAAACCTTCCACCTCTTCCAGCCAATGAACTTAATATTGACACTAACCCAACCCAACCAGATATATCTTCTAGTGAACAACCAGCTTCTACAAACCAGCCAGAGATATCTTCGAGTGAACCACCAGCTTCTTCAAACCAACCAGAAATATCTTCTTATGAACAATCAGCTTCAACGGACCAGCCAGAGATATCTTCTAGTGAACAACAAGCTTCTACAAACCAGCCAGAAATATTTTCTAGTGAACAACCATCTTCTTCAAAACAGCCAGAGATACCTTCTAGTGAGCAACCAGCTTCCACAAACCAACCAGAGATATCTTCGAGTGAACCACCAGCTTCTTCAAACCAGCCAGAAATATCTTCTTATGAACAATCAGCTTCAACGAACCAGCCAGAGATATCTTCTAGTGAACAACAAGCTTCTACAAACCAGCCAGAGATACCTTTAAGTGAACAACAAGCTTCTACAAACCAGCCAGAGATACCTTTAAGTGAACAACAAGCTTTTACAAACCAACCAGAGATATCTTCGAGTGAACCACTAGCTTCTTCAAACCAGCCAGAAATATCTTCTTATGAACAATCAGCTTCAACGAACCAGCCAGAGATATCTTCTAGTGAACAACAAGCTTCTACAAACCAGCCAGAGATACCTTTAAGTGAACAACAAGCTTCTACAAACCAGCCAGAGATACCTTTAAGTGAACAACAAGCTTTTACAAACCAACCAGAGATATCTTCGAGTGAACCACTAGCTTCTTCAAACCAGCCAGAAATATCTTCTTATGAACAATCAGCTTCAACGAACCAGCCAGAGATATCTTCTAGTGAACAACAAGCTTCTACAAACCAGCCAGAGATACCTTTAAGTGAACAACAAGCTTCTACAAACCAGCCAGAGATACCTTTAAGTGAACAACAAGCTTTTACAAACCAACCAGAGATATCTTCGAGTGAACCACTAGCTTCTTCAAACCAGCCAGAAATATCTTCTTATGAACAATCAGCTTCAACGAACCAGCCAGAGATATCTTCTAGTGAACAACAAGCTTCTACAAACCAGCCAGAGATACCTTTAAGTGAACAACAAGCTTCTACAAACCAGCCAGAGATACCTTTAAGTGAACAACAAGCTTTTACAAACCAACCAGAGATATCTTCGAGTGAACCACCAGCTTCTTCAAACCAGCCAGAAATATTTTCTAGTGAACAACCATCTTCTTCAAAACAGCCAGAGATACCTTTAAGTGAACAACAAGCTTTTACAAACCAACCAGAGATATCTTCGAGTGAACCACCAGTTTCTTCAATCCAACCAGAGATATCTTCATATGTGCAACTAGATTCAACGAACCAGCCAGATATACCTTCTAGTGAACAACAAACTTTTACAAACCGACCAGAAGTATCTTCCAGTGAACAACCAGCTTCTACAACCCAGCCAGAAGTATCTTCTTATGAAACATTAGCTTCAACGGACCAGCCGGAAATATCTTCTTATGAGCAACCAGATTCAACGAACCAGCCAGAGATATCTTCTAGTGAACAACAAACTTTTACAAACCGACCAGAAGTATCTTCCAGTGAACAACCTGCTTCTTCAAACCAGCCAGAGATACCTTCTAGTGAACAACAAGCTTCTACAAACCAGCCAGAAATATCTTCTTATGAAACATCAGCTTCAACGGACCAGCCAGAGATATCTTCTAGTGAACAACCAGCTTCTACAAACCACCCAGAATTATCTTCTCATGAACAATCAGCTTCAACGGATCAGCCAGAGATATCTTCTTATGAGCAACCAGCTTCCATAAATCCACCACAGGTTTTATCTAACGAGCAAGAAAACTCTAACGCAGTGATATCTGATGTCAACAATAACGAACCTGATACTTTAGCCGAACAAACACCAGAGATCACAACACAATATTTACATAGCTCAGACACTTTAGAAACCGTGAGTGGTAAGCCAGTGAATTTTGAAAGTGCTAATTCACCGTCACAACCCATTAATACGAATGTTCACGAAGCAGAGTCTCATAAATTGCCAGAGATTACAACGGAGTATGTTCATTCTCAAGTGCAACAAAATGTTTCTAGTAGTACACCGTTTATTAAACCTGCTGAAGAGTATAATCCTATTACAGAAATTTCTGTTTCTGAAATAGTCACAAACCAACCTATAGTAGAATTAACAGAAAAATTGCCAGTAAGTGAATACTCGACTAACACTAACACCGAATCAACAGAAAAAGTTGATACGAAGTTCAGCTCCTTGCCGTCAAATCAGTCATCAAATCATGAACAAAATAAAATTCCTCAGGATTCTGGAAATAAAGTGCAAATACCGTTTGATACTGAAATTCCTGAAACTTATAAACCTTCGGACACTCCCACATATACTCATAAACCATCTTTTTCATCTATTCCACAGTCATCTTGGACACAAAAACCATTCCACCCTGAAAGTACTTCTGAAGCGGCACAACCAGATCAAGGGTTCTCTGATGAATACGAAGATGAAAATGAGGCAGTCTTCGGACCAGGCACTTGCAGGTAATTATTCTATGTTATAAATTATAGCATCGGGTTAATTTAGAATCGAATGTGTATAATTAAAAACAAAAACGTATAATCTATTAATATCTGATTTCAACAATTATAGGTATGGAGGAAAAATCTACGTATCAGCTCAACAAGTTCCTAGAGATGATCCTTGCGATTTCTGCTTTTGTTTCCGTGGTGACATAATTTGCCTTCAACAAAGTTGTCCACCGCCAATATTTGGTTGTTATCAAGACACTATTCAAGGATTCTGCTGCCCAAGATATGAATGTCCAGTAGCTCAAGCCACCCAAGTAAATGTAACAACGACAACGACAACGACAACTACAACGGTTCCACCACATTTCTTTGCTAACGCATATCGTGGAGCAGCCCGACGATCTGGTTGTCTAATTCATGGTCATGCGTATAGAGTGGGTGAAGATGTTGGTATTGCTTCTGGACCTTGTATGCAATGCATGTATGTATATACATATATTTTATTCAAGTAATAATTAAATAAATTTTAATTTCTTCTCTGAATATTTTTTTAGATGTGGTGATGATGGCAAAATGCAATGTAATCCTAAAGCATGTAGTCCAGAACCTGTTCTTAGAAAAATGTTGGCTGAAACTGTTAATTCCAGAAGATGAATAAGTTAATTATTATGACAAAAAGTGCCAAAAACCACAATTCATTACGAGCAAAAAAACAAAGACTAGACCATCAATTATTATTAATATTATTATTTATTATTATTATAAATATAAAATTACAACGATAAATATTCACATTTTGGATATTACGTTGCTCAATAAAAAATTATACCATCCCTGCTAGAAAAGACAAACATGGTATGCCATCATGAAAACATTGGAGACTGGTTCTAATGAATATTTTATTTATTACTCTTAGTTTATAAAAAAATAGGTTAGTTATTTATTTTATGAATAATTTAATGTGAACTATTTGACATTTTTAAGAAAATTTTTTACCTATTTAATTATAAATGCCAAATATTAACAGACAATATGACGCATTATGGTAACTTTTTCACCACTTGCTAGTCTGTCATTACATAATTTCACTAGATACGGCATTCCAAATTTCAATAATAAATAATGACTTTATTTTTTTAATTTAAAACAAAATATTAGAATTGATTTTTCTTGATAGCCATTATTGTACTCTGTATATATTGCTGCCATTTATATTTGTGTTTAAGTTAAAAAAAAATGTTACTCAAATTTACCAATAAATTCGTTTAAACCAATGCCCAATCTTGTGCTCATGTGCACGATGAGATTTTTTTTTGTAACAAATTATATCTGAGTCGTTTAACAGGCAGAAATAAATAATAAAGTATCTAACTTAAAATTATTTAAAATAACGTTATATATCAAATTTCTGCCTCTCGAACACACAGATATTTTTGAATGAAAATCATGTAAATAGTATTTGTTCATAAGTTTAATTATAGTATAATAATATCATAATACATCATTATATTATTATTAAGTCATACGTTTTCTACTTTTAATAAAATTTTATATTAAATAAATAATTGTTTTTTATTATTATTATTATTAATGTTTAATAGTACTTATTTACAACAGTTTAAAATTTTAACTTTACTTTAATACATAATATGTGTTTTTTTTTTTTTTTTTTTTTTTTTACTGGCGTTTTGTGATTAGTAATATAAGAAAATATTCTCAAAAGAATTTAATTGACAACGAAAATACTTTTGAGAAAATTCTCTTGTAATTACCGGAAAATATTCTTTAAAAAAAATACAAGTAAATTATTTTTTATAAATATATACATAGTATAAACTTTTAAAAACGTTGGTAAATTTTACTATTAAAGTGATATATATACTTTAATATTATAATTCTAGAATAAATTCAAGTTAAAAAAGTTATGGTAATTTTAAGTAAAAAAAATTGAAAAATATCGAAAATTAGCGATTTTTAAATTTGTAATTTTTTGGGGGATTTCCCCCGTTTACGGGGAACGAGGGATTTTTTTTCAAATTTTGAGGGTAATGTCTTCAACTAGATACGATTTGTGATCTTTTGACATATTTTTCATCAAAATCGGTTCAGTGTGAGCTGAGATTGAGCGTATCAGACACAAAAAAAAAAAAAAAACACATCATAGTAAAATTAATACCTTCTCAGCTTTGCATCGAAGCTAAAACTAATAAGTTTGGTTGAGTAGCTAAATTAACTAATTTTTTTCATCAGAAAGTTAAAGTTTGTAGTAATATTGACTTATTTATTTAAAATTTTAGTTTTATTCATTTCTAAGGTATTTTATACTTAAAAGTTTATAAAAATCTCATATTTTTAAAGAATTACACAAAGTGACTACAATTGTGAACACTGAATTAATATCAAAATAGAAATAATTTTTAAGAAGTTAAGAACTCATTAAAAGTCACTCTATATCAATATACTATAAGAGAATATAAGTATTGATAAATTGTTTAATTCGTGGTATTGTCAAAAGAATATTTGTTAAAAAAATACAGCTATCATCTAGAGTATTTATTCAATTTTTTAAATGCCAATCAATAAAGTAATATACTTAAACAATTACTGTTTCATAAAAAATGAAATACTATTACAAAGTTTATAGATTTATAATTTAAATTCTTTTATAACATGATGCACACATATTAATCTGATTGAATTTTATAACAATCTAAAATTTTGTTCTAGTCAATTTATAATATCTTAAATTTTATTAAAACATACATTTTTTTTATCTATAATCAATTTGGAACAAATATGGTTTTACAATAATGTAATAAAAATAAAAAGATAATAATAACAAAAATAATAAAAGAGAAAACTAAGCTTGGAATAAAATATTTCTAAAACAACAACAAGAATGAAAGATCATCTTTATTTTTTGTTTGTTATTAATTAAGAAAATCTTTCTTAGATTTGACCAAACATTTACTAATTACAATACCACATAATGCAATCATTGCTATTCCTATGCCTGTCTTCCATATCAATACTACTGAATTTCGTAAATTTGGTATAAGTCCTCTGTGATGTGGATTGTATTTATGTCTACACATTTTAAAAACAGATAATTCGAGTTTTTAGTATTTAAGAGATTAAAAATGCTACATAATTTCTACATACGGTAGAGACGCCATAGTGGCTAAACATGAGAACAATTTTCGATTTTCATTAGAATTGGTAAACATGAAAGGAGCAGATAGTTTGTTCTGTTTACAAAATTGCTCTGGCTGTAAAATATAGTCTTGTTTCACTAATGGCCTTCCCTTGTCATTAGAAACTATAAGTACAGGGATATCTCTATTTTTGTAGTATTTCTGAAAGTTAATGAAGACAATAAATAAAAATCAAATATTAGATTTACAAATATTTTTGTAACTAGATAACCTTCAAAGATCACTTCAGACAAAAATGCTGAAAAATATTTTGAAAATTGTAAACAAAACTTCATGAATACCATTAACATAAAATAATACAATCTTTTATATTTTAAACAATAAAAACTCACCAAGTATACATGAGCAACATACTCAAAAGAACAACTTTGTGATGAGTCGAAAACCAAACATGCAACATCACATTTAATTTCTTCTTTGGTCAAATGGCTTTCTGATAAAGGATTAATTTCTTTTATTACCAAATATTTATCATGCCCATATACTAGAACTTTATTAACTGATACTAAGTCTTGAAATTTTCCATTTTCATTGAAACTCTATAAAACAGATATTTATAATTTTTTTACCATAATACTTCTAAACATTTTTTAAATGATTAATATTATTTCACAAGTGGATTTATTCAGTTATCTATCTAATTGCATAGCCTTATGAAATTATCAACTTCTTTTATCTTTAATAAAAAATTTGTTAGAAATGATTTAAAAATGTACATTTTTTATTTTCCTTAGATTAGAGATTCTGTAAAATTACTGTACCCATTTCAAGTAGCGCCTTATTTTATAATTATAACAACAAAAGCTGATGTAGATTATTAATAATATAATAAATAATTATCAATCAGAGATCAAACATGTTTCATTTGATTTACAACACTACTTACATTATCAGAACATTTCACATGATGTTTGCAGATTATTGATTTTCCACTACTTTTACTTCCAATAACATGACAAACATAAACAGATCTTTGAGATTGTTTCTTTTGTAAATCAATTTTCTTGCTTCTTGTAACTAAAAACATTTTTCATTATAATTTGTTTTCAATTCTGTTTTTAATTTTTTCTCACCTTGTATTCCAGAAAGTTGATTTTCAGGTCTCATATTATACCCTAACATTGCCAAGTATGCTAAAGTAGTATCAGTCTCAATCAAAGTACAATATGACCAAAATGATAGCCACCCTTGAGATGTAATCCAACCCTTATTTAGAATTTCAGTATGAATGGATAAAAAAAATATATTTTTTAAATCTAACTGTGTTAATAATTACTTTATGATTAGTATTGTAAAGACATTTTCTCAATAGTTCAGGTTCATCATTACACATGGAAAACAATGATTTCAATTCAACAGGGCTCAAACAATCATCTTTATCTTTGTCATGTGTTTCAAATAAATGATATAAAAAATCTTCACCTTTGTGTGATAATTCAACTGTACAATATTTATCAACTTTCATCCTAAAAAATGTACAAATGTATGCATCAATTTTTAATTATAAATTTCTTAATAAAAATTATACGAAAATAATTATTTACAGATTGAAGATGACGGAGTAATTAAGTAGTAGCGACATTTATTTTTAATTTTTATGAAATTTCAATTAGAAAAACACAGAGTAAAAAAATTTAAAACTGAAATTGCACTTTTTGTTAAAATACCAAAGAAAAATATTCAGGTTTTTTTCTCTCCTAGACAGTTTTTTAAAACTTTTTTTAAACTAAATGTATAACAGAAATTTTCCAAAAATAAACTAAATCTAAAAAATAATGTGATTAATATGAACAGTTAATTTTTATGTGTTATAACAATTATTTTATTTTATCTTAAAATTATCAATCAATAGTTTTTTAAGTTGGTATTATAATATTAAAAAAAGAAATTATTAAAATATAAATAAAAAATACTGACTAAATCTGAGAGTGATTTAATTACTTTAATAAATGATTTGGTGCAAATGTGCTTGAAGAAAATTAGATGAATTTATTTATTTTTAAGGAATGTTTAAAAAATTAAATGGAAAGGAGTTTGATTACCCCCTATACACCTGTATTATGCATGCACATTTTTTTCACTAAATAATGCTATTTACTGAAAAAATCAAGTTGTAATATTTAGTGACATTAAAATAAAAAATTACTTTAGTGGATTATTTATTTATTTTAAAAATTTTAATTAAATGTAAATTAGGACACAAGATTGACTGAAAATTATTTCTATTTCTTTTAAATATACATCTTGGTAAAATTAAAAATTTCTCACCTTAATAATAATAATATAGTATACTCTACAGTTAGTTTCAGAAATTATGTTATAATTATATCACAATTTAATAAAAAATAAAAGTAGAATTTTTGCAATGTAAAATTCAATTAACATAATTATTTTTAAAGCTTAAATGCAATACTTACATTGGGTGCAAATAACTATAAAGAAAATCCAGGTTATCATTATAACCAAATTTCCTAATTACTGTCCAAGTAGTTTGAGCTTTTCCTTTAAGAATAAATAACATATGTAGGAACAGAAACCCTATAATAATCAAAATTTTATGTAATATCAGTCAGACAGTTATAAAAACATATATATATATATATTCAATTATTTTACCTTCCAAGGTTACGCAATTTGAAGGAGAAATTCCACGTTCACAGTTCATATTTATTATAGTTTTGATACCATTTAACTGCTGGATAGGTAAATGACAATCAAAACAGTGACGTTGAAAATTATTTAGTTCTTCATCATTAAGTAAACCATCATTATCTATATCGCATATCTATAATATAAAAATATAATAAAATAATAATGATAATTAATATATAGATATTAATAATTTGTAAAATAAAAAAACACTTACCTTAAATATACGACAAAGAGCTTTCTTACATTTTTCTGTAAGCTAAAATAGAAAGTAAATTAATTTTTTTATCAACTCCTAAAGCTCATAATTTATTTTAAAAAAAATCAATTTGTAAATCTAACTTATTACATTATAGTTATGGAAGTTTGATAACTAAAATTTTCAAAAATATAAATATATAATTTTTTATAATAAAGACCACTAAAAAGGAGGGCTTAGATAAAACCATAATATAAAAACTTGTATCAATATTACAGTTCATCATAAACTTTTTTCTATTGAGCAGAAATAACATTAAATAAAATTTCTTTCAACATTTATTTGAGAAGTTGAAGAAAAATTTTCATTCAAAAATTTAATTGTCCCTTTTTTTTAGATGTTTCATGCCCCTAGATTCCCACACCTGTTGGGTGTATAAGTGAAGTCTGCAAATAATGTCACTAAATAATGATCCAGCCAATTAATAACTTTATTTAAAACAACATTAATATTAATCTAAACATAAATAAAAAATTTTAACTTACAACTTTGTCTTCAACACAATAAAGTGGTGCAGTAGGATGTAAAATAGCTGTTTGTGCATAACAAAACATTTCACTTATATTCATCAACATTTTTGCAGAGCACTAAATTAACAAGCATATTACTTAATTAAACAAATTAAATAATGATAAAACTCTCTTCAAGATCATTGCTTAATGCTGCACAAAAAAAGTAATGATAAATTAAATTATTATCAAAAACAAGTTAAAAAAATATTTAAAGAACATTTATTTATGTTATTAGTCTTAATTAATTATTTTTTTTTAATCAATGAATCTAGTTTATTTTGATTAACCAATGAGAATTTAAAATTTATTGCAAGAATTTTTTAAACTACAACAAAGAATGTTTTACAGTATACATAACTTTTAAAGTACTGGTAAAAGTTGTTATTAATCCGTCCTTTTCATAGTTGGATCATTTTCTATTTTATAGGTTTGTTTAATACATATGGTGCAATTTAAAAAATTTAATTGACACCCTTATAAGGTTAAATGTGAATACCAACACTTTTATCAATAACGAACAACCTAACCTAACAAACTTTTATAATTACCTCGAATTAAAAAAAAAATTACCTTGAAATTTATTAAATGAAAAGTAAAAATAATGTATTTTTTTATTTAAAACTTTACTCCATTTACTATAGTAATATTTCAAATAATTAAACTAATAATTTACCTGAACATAAGTTTCTATTTCAGGGTATTCATACAAAACATCTTCAATAATCTAAAATAAAATATCAAGAAATACTCTTATGAATAAAATTTGTTTAAATCTTTAATTTTAAACAAATAGTTATTATTATCCTTAAAAAATTAAACTTACATGCATAGAAATGTTGTTAATGAGATCGCTTTTGTTACCAACCAATATAACAGGATGATATATGTCTGCTCCAATTTGCCATTCTCTTAACAAAGGCATCCATTTACTTTTTATATTTTGTCTACTTAGGTCATCTACTACTGAAAAAACTAAACAAATAACATCAGCATGACGTACTTGTTCTGCTAAATCTTCATTATCTTGTTCATTTTCTGAAATTAATTTTTGATTAAGTTAAAGAAAACACTACACATTTTACATTATAATTATATGTACCATTGTAATCAATTATATCTGTGGGTACTAGTTCAGGAGTAACTTCTGCAGGAATAGTAATTGTTTCTGCGCGTTCTGGTACATCATCCAAAAATTCTTCATTTACAAGTGATAAAATAATAGATGTTTTACCAACATCTTGATCACCTACTAATAAAATACGCACCGAACGACCGGATTGTTTATGACCAATATCAAAAGCCATTACCTAGAAAAATAAACAGATTATCTTAAAATTCTTATGACGAAAAAAATAGAAGCCTAATCCATTACTATTTACCCTAAAGCTCAGAACATTTCGACAATTAACTCAATAGAATAGAGTTAATATCGATCACCAAAATATAATTATCACTATTTAGTATAAGTTACAATAAATTACTTAGATAGAGTTATTGTTGAATGACTTAAAAAAATAAGTCATTTTTGAAAGAAATATGAACCCTGATAATAAAAATATATCAGGAGATATAATAGAAAGATAACAAATTTATATCTCCTACTGAAAACATACTACTAAGAAATATCAGTGTGACCAATCATTAAAAAATATAAAAACAAAAAAGTTAAAAAATTTTATTTCTATTATATAATTAAACAAAAAATAGGGATTCCATTAATGAAAATTTAGGTTTTTATCACTAAATAGATGATTATATATATATATATATATATATATATTTGACTACATATTATTATATAATTCTTAGATATTTTGAATCAAACAATATTTTCCTTTACAATAGTTGAAAATGTTCAAAATTTTCCAAGAAATTAGTGTCTTATTCTTAATTGATCTTTATGTATATATATATATAAAGAGTGATTTTTTTAATATAATCCATCAATTACTTACAAAATGAAAATAATTTAAAATTTTTTTTCATTTTTGGTTACCTATTATTTTTAGATTTTTAGCTATGTAATACTTTTTAAATTCATTCCTTAAAGGCATGAAGGTGTCAACTTTATTTTTTCAAATGGGAACACATATTTTGAATTTAATAAAATGTTTGAGGATTTATTTATATAAAACATTAAAGTTTCAAATTTTTGAGATAGTAATATGTAATATTTATGAGATATTACAAATGCAGGTAGCTATTTGTTTTTAATGGTTAACACAGATTCGGAGCATTTATTGTCGATTAGGACTTTATTAACAGGTATGCTTTCTGCATTGCTATTTGTTATATTTATAAATTCACAACAGTGTGCCTTATTACCAAATTTAGACACGCACACACATTATTAGTGGCGAATCCACTTAACCGTTAAATAATACATTATCACCTGTTAAATAATAATTGATTTCAAGTCGGAAATTAAATTTTTTCTATTTTAGATTATTACTCATTAGAAAGCAAGTATTAATACATGAAAAAATATTATTACAAAAAATTTTTTTTATCAAATTAATTAATTAATTTTTAAAAATAATCCGTGCAAAATTTCAATTCAAAATGTCCCTTTTCATTTATTTTTAATCCTTTAAAGTTTATTTTTATGAACGATTATAATTAAAAAAAACCCAGCACAGTGGGGTCGCAGCACAGTGGTGACGTGGCATAGTTGGATCAAGTATAATGATATCTGACAGTGATTAAAATCACTATCAAACCTAAACGCTTCGATGCAAACCTTTAGATAGTGTTTAATTTTAAAAAAATTGGTATATTATTCCAAAAGCTACATGATCTGCTAGTTCATTATTAATATCCTAATTAAGATAAAGTATGTCGAATGAAAAAGGGATTATTAAAAAATATTATTTCTCATAAAAAAATAATGTTGATCCATACATTTTTTAAAAAGTTATAGCACTTTAAAGTAAAAAATGTAAATTATAAAATCGAGAATTTTCACACGAAAATAGCATTTGGTAGCCATTTTCACCACGAAGACAAGTCCAGAGGTCAAATTTTTTTTTTTCAAATTAAAGTATATTACATTAGCTTTAATTTAAGATATATATAAAAGTGTCAGACCTTCCGAAACACTTTCAAAAGTTAAGTTGAAAAAGTTTTACTTTCTATATGCATTTTTTATATTTGACGACCCCCGTATAAAGGGAAATAGTCAGATTTAAAAAAACAGTATGTCGAATGAAAGATGTATCTAAATACTAATTATCATGAAAAATTTATATTGATCCATACATTTTTCAAAATGTTATAGCATAATAAAGTTAAAAATGTAAAATACAAAATCGAGAATTTTCACACAAAAATAGCATTCCGTAGCCATTTTCACCACGAAGACAAGTCCAGAGGTCAAATTTTTTTTTTCCATGATAAAGTATATTACATTAGCTTTAATTTAAGATATATATAAAAAAAAATCGAAAAAATTAGCGATATTTAAATTTGTAATTANAAAGTATTCTGCATTTTTATAGGCATATCTAATAAACAATCATTGATAACTAGTATGTTATGTAACATAAAAACAAAAAATTAGTCTTTATAAAAATTTAATGATACACAATTTATTTTAAAGTTCTAGTGATACTATTAAAAGATTTAGACAATAATTTGGTAACTTACGTTTCATAACTATGATAGTTTTGACTTTTTAGTTAAAAAGTGTGTATTTTCTAAGATCTCAAATTATTATAAGAGAACAATGGATACAGTAATATAAAGAAGGTGTATTAAGTCACAAAAAAAATTTGATCTAAAGTAATTGATTTAATAATGAAAAAATATTTCTGTATTTTTTATAATCATGCAAGACATAAAAATGAGTTGCTTTACAATTGCATTAATCCTATTTAAAAGAACATATTATGTTTTTTTTTGAGGGGGGAGGGGGCATATGTTAGTAGCCTGCTCGAGACCGCAAACTGTATTTTACCTTAGAGACCGTGACCAATAGCCAACATTTCGACAGACGAGCATCAATTCTCGATCGCACATCCCATAATGAGTACAATATCAAAACATGTTCTTTTAAGATAGGTTTTATTAAAACTAACTTACTTTGTAAAATTAATTCAATATATTGGTTTGATAATTAGCATTTTAAAAATAGACTAAAATAATACTTCTTTATTTTTCTAGTCATACCAGTTTTTAAAACAAAAAAACTTCTCATAAACATATTAATTTATTAAAAACAAATATAGTAACAAAAAATTTTTAGAGAAATAAAAACAAATGTAAGAAAAAAAAAATGTATAACAATAAAATAAATTAGGTAAAAGGCAAGAAACGAACTTTGTACAGTTCGTATTTTTTTCTTTGTATAAAAACAAATTATAAAATAACGATAATTTAATGATTTTAATAGGGATGATAAAAGGAACATAAAGTTTTAAAAGTTTAACAAATTTGATTACATGAAATAACTTGGGGAGGTAACTCAATTAAAAATGTTCTTCGACACTGTTTGATGGATTATAAAATAATTTTAAACTATTAAAATTTTATTCGTGTTCTGAATGTTCTTTAGAATCAGAATCAGAACTAGAATCAGAGCTAGAACCAGAATCACAACTTGAAGAAGAATCACTACTAGAATCAGAACTTGAAGAAGAATCACTACTAGAATCAGAACTTGAATCAGAATCACTACTAGAATCAGAACTTGAAGAAGAAGAAGAATCAGATTCAGAATCAGAATCATCCGTAGAATTTATTTTTGAAATCTTTAAGACTATTNCAGAATCAGAATCGTCCGAAGAATTTATTTTTGAAATCTTTAAGACTATTCTGTCTTCCAATTCATCAGGTTGGGCCAAGTAAATCTCAACGCTACTCGAGTATTTGAGTCTATTCGATGATTTACATGCGTCGAGAGCGTCTGTAGACCGTGTTGTGTTAGAGAAAAGTCCTGTTGAATTTTAAGAAATAAAATGCGAATTAAAATATTATTATTATGAATGTTTTCATTAAAGTGTATAAATCAATTTTTTACCATCGCAATCATAGTCAGTTTCTGAATCGTCTTTATTTTTTGATTCGTCGTCTGAATTAGATGTTGAAGATGTGGCCCTTATTTTCAACACTACTCTATTTTCTTTGTATTTACTTGAGTGAAACTCTACACAGCTTGAGTATTTATACCTCTTCGATGGCTCACATCCATCAAATGTATTTGCCCTTTTCAACGATTGTGAACTATTACATAGTTCAGNTGGCTCATATCCATCAAATGTATTTGCCCTTTTCAACGATTGTGAACTATTACATAGTTCAGTCGACTTAACCGAATTAGTAGGATGTATATCCATATTTTCGTAACCTGATAAATATTAACAAATTAAGCATGACTATTATTGTAAAAAATAACAAATATAGCCGATGATTAAAAAAATTTTATTTCATACTTTTTTGACGTTCAACTACATAAGTCTCATCGTCATGTTCGACTTTTCTTTTCGTAGATGATTCGTCAAATTGTGTTGAAAATAGTTCTACGAGTATTTCGTGAGGGTCCTTCCAATAAAATGCACGTGATCGGTCAATTTTTTCTATTATTTCTTTGGGGAATGGTTCATAGTTTTCTACTGGAACTGCTATGGATCGAGTAGATTTGCGGTACGAACGCTTAGGCATGTCTTTTTCTGTAGTTTTAATATTGGATTCAATTTTAGGATTGTCACTCAAGCACTTTTTTTTATTGACAGGAGCCTGTTTCTTAAACGAAATTGTAGGTTTTCCACGCAATTTTTTGAGCTGGGCAAATAATTTTTGCGTCTTTGTGCTCATTGTTACAAATTATTTCAATAATTAAAACTTGAAAATGTCAACGACGTTAGTTTTGAGAATAATTAAAAAAATTGATGATAATGTTGAAAGTCGAAAAATTCTCAAAGTTAACCTGAGAGTAAAAATGTTTGCTAATTTATAAATAAAAAATTTTATCCATAGAAACTATTAACAGAAAACTTAATTAAATATATATTTTTTTTTAATATTTGGAAACGTACAAAAATTGCTTGTTTATTTTTCTTAGTAACATGTATGGAACAGNTTTTTTTTAAATATTTGGAAACGTACAAAAATTGCTTGTTTATTTTTCTTAGTAACATGTATGGAACAGCTTTAATTGAATAATAAAGTGCTATGTATTAGTAGATTATTTCATTAAAATTTCAATTTAATATTTTGTGATTATGTAAAAAATTGATTTATAAAATAATTTAAATACAATTCTTTTGTCTACAATCAAATAATTCGTGAAAAATCCAGACAAAGGGAGTTGCTTTTAAACAGCCGTATTATCATAAATTTTCTAAGAAAAGGAAAAACCCAATTATCTAAACCATGTGGACTTTATGTAAAATTTAATTAAATTTTTCCATCGGATTTTTAAGAAATGGTTTAACTACATTTTCTCGAAAAAAATAAAAAAGTGATTTTTGTGAACTTGATAATTATTTCTTGTAATTATGTAGGTAAGTTGAATATAATGAGAGAACCAGAACAGGATTTAGGATTAGAATAGTATACTATTGTAACATTACTCTTATTTTTTATGTATATTTGAAACATTGCAGAAATTATGATATGGAAAAAATGCCTATTAGTTATAAAATAATTCATTCTCGCTTATAGTATTCCATTTTCCAACACTAGGTAGATATTAATCTAATTTTTCTTCTTCAGTTTTTACTCAAAATATGATACATGACAATTTTTTCTCGAGAGTCTGTAATACCATTGATATTCATTCGTGATCTATATAAATACTAGTAGTTAGATTAGTGTCCATAATAACCAATTGTTTTAAGAATTTTTATTTACATTAGGAATTTCTGTCAACTATTAATATTAAAAAAAAACCCAGCACAGTGGAGTCGTGGCATAGTTGGGTCCAGTATAGATGATATCTGACAGTGATTAAAATCACTATCATAAAAAACGCTTCGATGCAAATCTGTAGATAGTGTTTAATTAAAAAAAAAATTTGTTAAAATAGCATATTTTTGAATATAGTAGCCATTTTCGCATAGAAGATAGGTCGTCGGGACAAATTTTTTTTTTCATTTTATAGTACATAAAATAAGCTTTAATTTGATATATGTTTGTAGGACGCAGTATTTCCGGAACATTTTCAAAAATTAAGTTGAAAAAGTTAATTTTTGTAAAAAAGTTGCTATTTTAAATCCTCCCCAATGAGCAGGTTAAGTGATAGATTTTCAAAAAAATGATATCAAATGAAAGTTAAATATCTAAGGTTTTAGTATAAAAAAAAATTATGTTGATTTGTTAATTTTTGAAAAAGTTATGGAAGTTTTAAGAAAAAAAAGTGAAAAAAATGACAAAATTTATCGATTTTTAGGGAACTGGGATCTTTAAAGTCATCTAATTTATACAAATAATTTAAATAATAGAGTTAACATTACAGCAGTTAAAATATGTAACAACCAATTTTTTTTTTAATATTTTACAAAAATTAATTTTATTTTATTGTTTAGATATTTTACTATAACAAATTATTATTATCATATTATTAATCATTCAATTATCTTTTGATATTATAAAGTATATTTTTAACTGACTTTTACTAAATTATTTTTAATGTAAATTAATCAATGTTCAATCTCAATAGTAAACAAACTAAAGTTTTTTCGACATTTTCGTAAGTGATGATTCTATTCTAACATTTCGCATTCGCAAGAAAAAATAGTAAATGATTTCCAAAAAACTCAAAATACTTGCTCCGACGAATAATGCTACTGAACCTCCAAGTGAAACTAAAAAAATATTCACGTATTTAATAAATATAATAAAAAAAAATTTACAATTATTTACCTAAGATATCAAGCCTGCCTCTAATGACATTTCGTTTGAGTCTCTCTTGAGGTAACTGATCCAACATCAATTGGATAATTGATTCATTATCAGACATTCTGTTATTTATAAAAAAAAATAGAATTATATTTCTATTCGATTTTTAATTTGGTAGCCTCATAATTTAGTATCTATAGAGTATTGTATTTAGCAATTGTGCCACCCGGGGTACTCAATTCTGCCGCTCCCAGTGACCTTTTTATTTTGGTCATCAAAACATGTTTTCTCTATTTTACCTCCTATACGAAGCTAAGAAAGTATTAATTTTACTATGATGGATGTTTTTTGTGTCTGTCATTTATTTTTCTCAGCTCTCACAGAGGGAATTCCTCAAAAATATTATTTATTTTAGTTTAATGTTTTAATATAATATAGCATTATCTTATAAGTAAGTTTAACGTTATTAATATTTTAACGCTCTATAATTTTTATGTTCAACGTTTTAACGGAACTACATGTTTACGATGAACGTTAAAGAAGTTCGAAACATATTGACTACCTTAAGAAGTATTTTATGTGAACAAATTATTACTTTTTTCTTACATATAATATTTTTAAATATAACGTTTGAAAATAATATATGTTCGTGTTAATAAGAATTATTTTACGTTGTAAGTTATATTATGTTTAACGGTATTTTACATTTATTGTTATCACAAATTTTTGGTTTTTTGTTTTCCGGTTTTTCTGTAATTTTTCAACATAATCTTTTAATTTTTTTTTCACATCATCATTGCTTGTTGACACTCTTTTATCATCATTTTTTATACACCCTATATTGTGATAATCTTTAGATCATTTTTCTCTTACTTTTGCAACTCTGTAAACTTCTTTTACACCGTCCTTTGTTCCTAGCCTCTCATACGACTCATTATACCTCCTTAACTTGGTCTTACTTTCCGCACACTTGGCTTTTTTACACACGTTTATACTCCATACATTCTTTTCTCTTTTTACTCTTCTATAATACTTTGAACTAATTTTTTTTACTAATTGATTTTCTGAACGTCCTTATCCTAACACCAGGTTTCCTTTTATCCTTTTGTCCTTTAAAACTCTTTTTTTCATTTTCTCCTTTAAATTTCCGATCTTCAATTTTATTCCTGTGTTTTTTTTTTATTTTTGCATACTCTCTCTCCAGTACACCATAACTCCATTGCCATCAGTTGTTTATCATCATTTATTCCACTAAAACCATACCCTTTATGCATTGGTCCTACCTGAGTATGTTATTTTATCTTACCTTGTTTTTTCTCCATTTCACTAAGTTTCCTGCACACAACAAGTATTAAATTTTCTCCTCCTTAATATTTCTACTAATTTTCTACTTCTAGCAGTTAATGCTCTAAATACGGCCCAATCTCTAGACACTGTGATAATTAAGTAAAAAACATAGACGCAATTTCGAAAAAAATGTGTAGGGGCTGATGATTTTCTTTCCCCACAAATTTATTTTTTACCGAATGATAGACAATTTTTTTCTAGAAATTTTGAAGAATTAATTTCAATATTGAAAAGGAAAGATCCTCAAGCCTCCTATTTGCGTCTATGCTGATTAATACGTAAGTCAAAGGAAAAAATACATAAAACGAAACCCTACGTAAATGTTTCGACTGTAATTACATCCACTTCAGTTTCTACGCATGATGGCACACAATGACATTCCAATCCTACTCTCGCGCTATTTTTTTTTTTTAGTACAGAAAGTTCAGCATAATACTGATTCAGGCACATTAGTCCTCTAATGTCGCAATGTTCAGACTCTTCTATAAAAGATTAAATGGTTTAATATTAGTAGTTTACAAGATGATCAATGTGATTGAATCAAATTGATAATTTTGGAAATAATTATTTCCATAACTGTACATAGTATAGGGGTGGAATCTAATTTCCTTTTCTAAAAAATAATTTATATAATAATGTAACAATATTTGAAATTTTAAGATTATTTTTAAGCTTTCACTTATGTTTAGAAACACCAATGGTTCTTTTGCATACTTATAAATTTAATGTAATTACATACTACTATTCGGCATCAAATGGGACGTACAATTGCACATTTCCATTTGTTTCTGACGACGACAATGCACTATACAAGAGCTGTAACTGTAAGTATTACTTACACTTAGATAATTTTCCCAAGGGAATCTGCACCTAAAAAGATGATTTAAAGTAAAAATAAAATGATATAATACAAAATTCCCGTTTTCCTTCAATTTGTTTTGTAATTGGAGTCCTATACATCAATCATCAATTATCATGTAAAGACTCAATAGTTTAACACGAACGGTCATAAAATTGTACCGGAAATCGTATGAAAAAAAGAGACATGGTACAGGAATGGAACTCGCGACCGAAGATGTTGTAGAGACAAACCTTACCCACAAGGCCATCGGACACTTATGATTCAGACCCCGTTACACTATCATACTGGTTCATACAAGATGTGCGGCTAGGGGAAACACGATAACTTGTCAGTTTAAATAAGTACGGCAGAACTTCTACTGTACCTATTTATAGTTTTACACAAGGGACTATACTCACAATTACAATTTCCAGAATATTTAAATTTTATAAAGAAAAAATATTATATTGATTATATAAATCCTCACCAAAAAATGTGTCAGCCTAATCCACAATCACTACCTGTCAACAAGTTTTAGTGTACTTACCTGTCATTTGACTACGGTACACTCTTTAATTTGTCCCACTTTGACATTATTATCAATTGATCGGTTTTATGTACAATAATTTTTTAAATAGTACATTATCCTCTTTTTAATAAAAATTAGGCTTATATTTAAATTGTAACATGGGAAGTATTGCCCCCAGCGACGTTATTTCAGGGGCGGCAAAATTTGGAAATTGTTTAAAATGTAAAAATGTATGAAAACATTTTTTCTCTTTATGAGTAATATAGAACCTTATTTTTCTTCGCCTTTATACCAACTACTTGTGATAAGCCAACTTTTTCCTAAACTCCTAATAAGTAATGTAGAATAATCCTTATATATACAGTTTTACAAATAAATAAGAAATACTCTAAAATAAAGTTTTTTTTTTTTTAATATTTCTATGTTTGTATTTTATAATTAAACTGTTTTAAACTATATTCGTATTTAATATACCAGTTAATATTTAAATTATTTCAAATTAATTTTAGTAACATTTAAAGTTTAAAATTTGTTTTTTTTATTAAAAACACTTTACCTGCAAATAAATTAGCAAAATAAAAATATTTAAAAAACGTCGATGATAAGAAAATTCTACTTTTTTTAATATCAGATGCTAAGTAGTCATAAACTCTCCCATATTTTTGAAAACTAAATTTTACTTTCGCTGGTGAACGCCGACAAATTGCACCTCATCTTCATTGGCAATATCTTTTATGGTGATTTTATACTGTTTATATATACCTGGTACAGCATGTAATATATCAGTAGCGATTGTATTATAATATGGTACATCTACAGAAGAATGAATGTAGACCTATTATAACAAGAATTATTAATACTATTTAGGTTAATAAATGACTTAGTAATAATACAGAAATATCAAAAGTTATTAATTTTTTACAGCATAATTCCATATTACTAGAATAAATGAGGTTACTTTTTATGTACAAAATCGTAGCTATCATGAAAAGCATTCAAGTTTATTATTCAAAATTTCCTTTTCCCACCACCAAAAAAATATAAAATAAAATTGATTACGTGCTTGTGCATCCATAAAGAAAGGGATTAAAATTAAATTTGAAACCTAACATTTGTAATTATTTTGAAATTTTTTATAGACCATGATACCAAAAAACGCTTTATAAAAAATTTAGTCTAAGTTTTATATACATTTATTAATTTTACTATCTTGCGTTTTCGGTTTACAATTACTAGACCAGATATTAAAGGCATCAATATTATAATGAATTCTTTAAGAATTTTTATCTAATACTAAAATTTACCACTTTGTATCTTTAACTCGCTTCGCACGCATTTTTAAATTTGTGGTGTTATATCGTTAGTACGTGGTCTAACCAGCCGGATTAGTAAAAAAGGGCCCACTTAAATTTCTACCTGAGGAACTCGATCGCACCTGTATCAGACGTCATCGAAAATCTTTCTATTTTTTTTTTTGCTGACCAAAAAATTGTACAGATGATTAAAAAATTCTAACATCATTATCATCTATGGAAATTATCGAAATCACTAGTTATCTATAAATTTAATAAAACAGCAATATTTAAACAAACCGTTTGATTTAAAAAAAACATTTATTTATAACAAGAAACAATAAATATTAAAATAATTTAAACTGACACCTCAATAATAATAAGATAACATGGAATGCAAATTATTAATGCTTTATATCCGGTTAAAAATTGGCTAATAATCGTCTCAAATAGAGACTCCAAAATCTAAGGGTTTTTGACTATAAATAAAATTTACCTATTATTTTTTATATTTATATTATTTTTTTCTATATTTGCTATATTCTATAAGTTTCGCGAGTCATTGATTAAAACCCGTTCACTCTTTCACTCTTGAATCGATAATACAAGTAGTATTATACTTATACAATACTTTACGCACATTTCGTTTAGATGTATTTTTATATCAATAACGTTTACTCAGTGGATAAAGTGATGGTGGACGGAAGGGAACGGAGTCCTTCTTCTTATTTGAAGTACAACCTAGCGCCCCCTTTAAGTCGAATCCCACAAATGGCACTTTAATTTTGAGCACTGAAGAGTGAAAAGCGTTAATATAAGAAATTTAATTGAATGATCAAAATTAAAAAATAATAATACTTTATAGAAGAACTTAAATTATGAAATTATAAGAATTTTATGATACGACCGTGGTGGTATAAATACTTGGAGCCGTGACGTATTATTCAAAAGTTTAATTAATTATTTTTTTAAAGTAAGCTTAAAAAACCATGTAATTAAATAATGAATACACGTGGAACTAAAAGACTTATTATATTAAGGGTTATAAAGTGATAGAAATAAAAATTTAAGGTGATAAATATTTTTTATATTGAAAGAACCTACCACCGTTGTAGATATATTTGTAGTTTGTTGAATATTTTATAAATTATATTACTATATTTGTCATTTCATATTTTTATATATAGATACCTACCTAAATTGGTTACTCTTAATATTTTTTTCTCATCTTTTTCTGTTAAAGTATAATATTTAAAATTTAAAAAGACTAATTTGCATTTAATTTAAAAAAATATATTTATTTCTAATAAATTAAAATTTTAATAATGACTTCGTGATGTTTTGTATACCATTAATTTCTAATTAATATTTAATGAAATAACAAAAATTCTAAGTAGATACTACTTATTTATTTTATTTTTATATCTATTTCTTTATTATTATATAAATCTTTATTCACAATTAGTATTATCTTTTTAATTAGAAGTAAAAATTATACCTGACTAGCAGCAGAAAGTTTTATATATATGTCACTAGGTCCAGTTAGACGATTTGAATACATATTGATATAATCATCAGAATCAGGTCTGTAAAATTTAGTGATATTTAATAAATTTTGAAATAAATGATAGAATTCACAGTTATTATACTGACGATTCATTAGCCATAGTTAAGGTGTAACAAATTCCTAGTTCTGTTTCAGTTGGTATAAAATGTTTACAACAATTGAAATTTCTAACGCCACTCCAGGTACAATTTAAAAATACTTCTTCACAAGTACTTCTCATCTAAAATTAATGATTTTGTCATAATTCTATAATTATTTGACGAGATTATCCACAAAGGTGGACTGACCACGGAGGCTAAGGGACAATTGCCCTCTAGGCCGCTGTCTATAGAGTGATAAGAGGAGCACTATGATTAACGCAATTCAATTTTTTAATTTTATTATTAAATCTTTTTAATTCATCATTTCTTGTTAAGGAGCAATACAAATATATTTTGTAGTGAGGTAGCCTGCCACATTTTGCTCCTAGTCCATAGGCCACTGAGTCCGACCCTGATTATTCATATAGGTTGGGGTTTAGTAAATAAGGAAACGGGTTTTTTAGTTCTCATTGTTTGTAATAATTGACCTGTTTCCTTACTTTTTAACAACCTATACTAGTTGTCAAAAAGTAACGAAAATAAAGCAGTAGTCTAAACCATTAATTCAACTATACGGCTGATTTTAAATCGTATACGTCTAATGTTACATTTCATTAACATTTTTGTTGCATAAACGTAAAAAATAAACGAAATGGATGAAGAGTCGATAACGACACTACAGAGCTTAACAATTACTACAGTGGGTTTAAAAATCAATAACGGGTAAATTAATCACTTTCATTTTCTTCGGTAATCACCCATTCAAAGTACATACTNGTCAAAAAGTAACGAAAATAAAGCAGTAGTCTAAACCATTAATTCAACTATACGGCTGATTTTAAATCGTATACGTCTAATGTCACATTTCATTAACATTTTTGTTGCATAAACGTAAAAAATAAACGAAATGGATGAAGAGTCGATAACGGCACTACAGTGCTTAACAATTACTACAGTGGGTTTAAAAATCAATAACAGGTAAATTAATCACTTTCATTTTCTTCGGTAATCACCTATTCAAAGTACATACTAAAAAAAATATTGTTGTTTTAACTACAGCCAATGATGTTAAATAGTCACAGTTCGAGTTGAGTTTTTTTGTATTTACGTCAAACACACTAGAATGTTGAATTGAGTATATTTTATTGAACATTGATAAATTTCAAAATAAGAAATATTAAGAGTTATTATTAAAATGTCACTTGTCTTGGTTCAAATTCTTACGGGTTTAGACTAATTTAAATCCAAGTTTAACTACAATCAATAGCCTTAAAACGAGAAAGTCGCTTGTCGCATTAACGCTATAAATTATTGTTATTTTAACACCGTAAATATGATTAAAATCAATACTCCACTAATTCTAAATTAAAATCTACGTGATGTTGTGTATAACCACAACCGCATTTGTTGTTAAAATTATGGTGCTTTTTTTCACAAATTTTCACTATAGAAAAATCCACTATGATTCTTTTTGGGTCTTAAAAGGTATACAACAACATAAATAAAATATCACGTGAAAAACAATCTCTCTTTGCTCAAAACGTGACACTATGACGTGGATCNATAGAAAAATCCACTATGATTCTTTTTGGGTCTTAAAAGGTATACAACAACATAAATAAAATATCACGTGAAAAACAATCTCTATTTGCTCAAAACGTGACGCGGATTCACAGAGGCCGCCAATTTTAAAAGACTTCATACTTACTGNGGATCCACAGAGGCCGCCAATTTTAAAAGACTTCATACTTACTGATAATGCTAATTCTCTAAAGTTAGCTGTTGGGCAATAATACTGTCCGGTTAAACAAAACTCCTTAATGTAGTAACACATCCCTTTAAAATACGCTATTTCTCTGACTATTTCGTCCAAGTTGTAATCTCTATGATCTCCATAGATTCTATTTTTGTTTCGTTTTTAATAAAAAACAAAATAAATTAACAAATAATAATTAATTAACCAATTAAAAAAACATTTTTTATTTAAGAAATGTCTTACTTTGTAGCTAATTTTTGTACATTGTTATTGTTATCCGTTTCACAAATGCTAATTGCAGGAAAGCTAGTTTGAAATTCTAATGCTGTTGTCTCTACTACAAAACTAATGGCATTTGTTTGAAATGCTTCCCATGAATTCATCATTAAACTGTAGGATCCATACCAACTTAGGGCGCAACAAACAAACCAAAAAACTCTGAAAGTTAACTATGGTTTAAATTCTGATTCTCCAAAGAGGGAACAGATATCAAAGAGAATATAATTTCTAAAAAAGCTAAAATTCTCAAGTTAAATTTTTTTTTGGTTATAAAAACAAAATCTAATAACTGAAGGATTAAACAGCGTCAAAAAAAAGAGACGTATCCAGTATGATAATTGAGCGAAGGTGGTGTGTAAAAAAAATACTACCTGTCCACGCAATATAATCAAGTTTAACATCTTGAATTTAATTTTATATTAAGCGAAGAGGAATCAACAGTCAATGAAACCCCTAAACATTTACCAACCAAAATACTAATAATGTATTGGTTTAGAAACTATGTGAAAAGATTTAGAAAAGTTCTTTTTATAAAAATTCCTCCCCTTAAGAAAAAATCCTAAATACACCATTGTACATTATTAAGAATTTAACTAAATCAGTATACTATCGCAACTAGTGGAAGAGTTGACAAATAGTTGTTTCTAATCTACCTTTTAGGTATTTTATAAATTTTGATAACTTTTTTTGTTATTTACTCAAAGTTCCATTATTTAGAGATAAATGTCTGCTATCTCAGACTAAAATTTCTGGAGTATAAATTCTGTCAAATCATTTTAAGGTAGAACCAACTTTAAATATTTATTATAGAAGATAAGGAGATGATGAGAAATGAATGTCTAAAAAAATTATTATAAAAAATTTTTCAATTGCGGAGTTGAAAGGGGTCTCTCTTGTAATACTTATGCTAAAAAAAATACCGCGAAAAGGACTTCTTGAAAACATAAATTGATATTATTTCACTAGTAAACGAGGCACAACTCTAAACCATTAAGTGGTAGTGATTTTTCATTATATACTATCACCTATGTTATATAGATTAATAGTTTATTATTTACTAGTCTTGTGTTAATATTTTGGACTCTAAATACCTCTCTGTCCAATGGCGACTTGTATCGCTTATATAATGAAGACCGTGTATAGATGATTGATCAGCAAATTCTTTGAGTACTTCTTTTGGATTTGCCACCATGATAACGGTGAACAACTTACTTACCTGTACATGTACTTTTTCTATTATGATTATTTTATTATATGTGTTCACAGTATATAAAAAAACATACCAAAAAAACAAGGCTTTGCGGTGAAATTGAATAATATTAAATATTTAAACCTAACTAACGTAATTACTGTAATTTTGACTGATACGCCGCTTGGATTTTGATGTCACGCTAAAAAATCATAGATCTTTTATTTGTTGATAAGCTTTACCAAAGTATATATAAGCGTGCGGAAATTGCAGTTTTAGGTGTTGCTATAATACAATAATTTTGATCACTAAACCACCAATACACTATTTTTTTTATATAACCTTGTAATTCTTGATTTATTGGAAAATTCATAATCGTTTTAAAAATAATGTATATATAATAAGTCAACTATTAAGTAGTTTAATAACAACAAGACTTATATGAGTCCACCTATGAAAAATATCGTTATCATAAAAAATGATGAGCAAAATAACTATGTCATTAATCATGACAGGGTAGTAAAATTTATGATGGGCTCTATAATCTCAAAGACCTCAGGACGTTTGTCCTCCCCTTAATCCGGACCTGAATAACAACATATTTAATTAGGTATACATCTAAAAATGATTAAGCTTATAGAGTAATTGAATATTCACACAACTTCTTGAAATATCATGTCAAATAATATACAAGTCATTTAATTGAAAAATATAATAATTTGATAGTTATTTCATTTAAAATTATATCAAAAATAACCGAAAAAAAATTACACATTTTAATTTTTTTATTCAAATCATCTAATAACATTAAAGTAAAATAATTTTACTAATTCTTTTTTTATTCTAACATAATATTAGATATACATTCCACCATAATTATGTACCCTAATTAGAGTCCTAATATTAAGTTAACTTAATATTTAGTGAAGTAAAAATGAATAAACTTGATAGATATAAATTAGACAGTGCATAACTTACATTGAGTTACCAGTTAAGTAATTAGTATTGAAAAAATGAACTACTGAAGTTTAAAAGTTAAAACTAGTTGATTTAACAAATTTGAATGGAGACACCCCTTTATAACGATATATTATCAGTTTTAAGACTTAATTGATATTGAACTAACAATTTTAATATAAGTCAACGGCAATGATTTGTAATAAATTTTAACTGATTATAAAATTAGTCGATGATAGGGATGGGCAAAATTTTTAGTACATCGATGTTCGTCGTTTGATATATCGTTTTTTTATGTATCCGAAGTAAAACATTGATGTTATATAATATTGTTGCTAAAATCGTTCAACAATTTTCTGTATATTACCATCTGAATTGTGTACAATAGAAGGTAGTACAATATATGCATTATTTTCAAATCAATAAAAATTAGAGGATAATCTTAATATACTTCATCATGATCTCCTTGGAATTTATCCTAACCCATTTGACATCAGCTCTATCTTACAATGATTTGACAACATTTTTACACCGGCTATTGACCCCCCGACACAACTTCAGTGTAGTAGAGAAGAACAGTATAGGGCAGAGTTTGTGACACTACTAATTATGGTCATCTATCCGGAAACCACTAGAAAACAGCATAGCTGAACATTAACACTAATGTGGCGACTTAATGATCTCACACTATGCCAATGTTTAACATACATAATTTACATATATTCGGTGTAGGTTATTCCAATCAGTTATCACCAAATTATATAATGTAAATTAATTAAATATATAACTTAAATTAATATGTAACTAGAAAATACATGATTAAAATTTTACTGTGACAAGATAAAGTGTCAGATACATACATTTTTCAGACTGATCACAGTTATGAGATTTTATATTAAATATATATAAAAAAAAAGAATAATTGTAATATTTAAAAATACAAGTCATAATAATAATTAATAAAATATAATAATCATAAAAACAATAATAATAATTAGTGTATAAAGCATATTGAAAAATTTTGTACTTAAAAATAATACTGTAATAACATTGAATGAATATTGAAAAATAAATAACATACAAAATTCTATATATAAAAAGTTACTTCTTCATAATTATAAAATGACAATGCCATGATCCCTTTTCAATTTTCTTTTTGCTGTTGTTGTTATAACTCCCATTAAATCTGATGGTGTAGGTAAGCCTCTAACAATACTACCACTCTGTTGATAAAAAAGTTCACGACTACCACATTTATTACCATAAACAACATTATCATCATCTCTATTCATTATATAAATACAATTAAATTAATTTAACATAAATTTAAATATGGAGCCAAAAATATTTTAACTATAAAAATATAGATAAAGTATTTCTGCAATAATTTATAAAATTATGTAATTAGATATTGTTTTACAATGCCAAGTAATAATTGTTTTAGATCACTTAAAAAATCATAAGTAATTCATACTGCATTAAAAATAAATTACCTTATGATTACGTCCATTATGGGAGTATCTTTTTGGAATGATTCATGAATTGTAGTGGCCAATTGTGTTTGTGAAGCAATCCAACTCCCATGTTTATCAATTAAGCCAGCTTCTTTAGTATCCATTACCATAAATCCATAATTTTCATCAGGCCTTTGTAAATTATAAGTATCAGGTATATTTGACATGATATTATTTAGAGAACGCTCTAAATCACCAATACTATTTATACTCAAATTCCACTATTCATTAAACAAATTGTTTGTATAAACTCAATTATTTTAATATGGTTAAATGTTAAATATTTTTAATTACTAATAAATGAATGAGGTCAGGATCATTTTCTGCTTCCTTCTCCAATAAAACCATTAAAGAAGTGTTCTGAAATCCAACAACAAACAATATCATTTTCTGTTGATTCGATGAATTATTAATTAATTGTTGAAAACTCGTTGATGGAGTAGTCAAATTTTCTGTAGGTGTAGTATAAGGAAATAAATCTGTCATGCTTAATTTGGCCATTAATGGAGTCATAATGTCATCTTTAATAATATCTTTTCTTTCTATGAAATTTAATTTATATAACCTGTGCTCTGTTATAATAGTAAAGTAGCTTACCAAAATTTTGAAAATTTAGTGGTATTGATGTTGGTCTGTTGACTTTTTTTTTTTGAGGAACTTCATCTAAAAAATGTATATTATATTAATTATATAGCATAATTGTATAATTGTATAGTATAATAAGTATAGTATAATTGTAAAAAAATTGACTATTAATTTGAGTATTCTTCAATTTAAAATCATAGCTATACCTGTTTGCTTTTTTGCTATCAAATCAAGATCAGTGTAATGTTGATTAAGTTGTTTGTCATACAAAGCTTTTGAAATAGCAAAGTTATCTTCTCGTAATAATGGAAAATAAGGATCACATAAAGTTCTATATTTATTGTCATTTTTAGGATCATCATCATTTACCACTTTAGGTAGGGTTCTTAGACTTTGATATCTTATAGCATTATTGCGTATTGTGACAAGTTTGGTGAACTCTGGTAAATCATCTTTCGAATCGTCATATACTGAACAATTAATTTTAGTGTCATATACTTTTTTTTCTGACTGTTTAATAGATACTTTAATAATATCAGGAATACTGTTAATAGATTCAGTATTACTGTCTGGAGTTAATTCTTCTTCAACTGTAAATATATTTTTATCTTGGCACTTCTCAACTTTAATTTCTTGAGAACTATTTGAAATCTAGAAGGTTTTTTATTTTAATATTCAAGTATTGAAAAATTACAATTATTTTAAAATATCATACATTGTTTTTTTGTCGCCATTTAGGTATTTTTTTTAAAGACTGTTTTAATTGATTGGCTGACTTTCTAAGTAGCAATACTTGACTTTTATCAACATAGACATATAACAATTGAGTACCCATTGGTATATGATAATTTCCATCAACATTGCATGCTGGAATCTATAAAGGTCATTAAATTCCGTTTTAATATATTTACATTGAAAATAAAATAATAGTTCAGTATTAAAATTACTTCAAATAAACATTTTAGTTTCTAATAATATTGTGATTATGTAATCATAATTTAAGCTAAAATAAATCACGATAAAAAAAAGTATTGATTTATAATTAGATAAATGATTATTGCTATAATTCATACCTTGTTACGAAATGGATCAGTCAATTGTATTAATTTTGTTAGTTCAAAATCTAACTGTGTTATTACAATCCTAAATAACATTATTTTTATAATAAATTGACATCCCTTAAAACTACAGAAATAATAATATTTTAGTCTATTTACTTATTATGATGAAGTATCATTCCTCCTAAAACATTTGATTTTGTTTGCATACTTTCTAACAATTGCATTGATTCTAATAAAATATTTCCACAACTCTTAAAAAAAAAAAACAAATTAGATGTACTAATTAAATAGATATTATTCAATCTTTAATTTTGGTAAAGATTTAACCAAAAAATATTTAAAAAATTACATTTTATACAACTATTTTGTGTATTTTTTTTTTTTTTTTTTACACTCACTTTAGGAACTTTCAGTACAGTCGTTGCAGCAAATATATTAGATGACACTAATAAAAGAGAAAGGTAAGAAGATATGGCAATATTTAAATTATCTTTTAGTAATTTTTGATCAGATAATTCAGGAATGTCATAATGGAATGTACATAATATACTAAACAGAGTATCAGCTCGTTTTTTTAAAATGCTATCTGGAATGTTTCGATCTGTTCCCACACACTAAAATACATAATTATAAAATTAATGAGTTAAAATTATTTATTGTCATATTTTTACCAGAGTTAAAGAACCAAACTGTTTGAATGCAAATTTCCCAGATTTCAAAGCCAAAATTGATGGAAGTGAAAATGCTAAAGATGTAAATTTAGCGATTCCCATCAATTGACCACAAAGAGCTAATTTTTGAGATGGACTCACCCAGGGAGGATGGAAATATAAAATAGAGTTATTTGGATCATCTGACTCATTTGTGCAAAATCTGGGATCATAGACAAATATTATCAACAGCTCCCTAAAAAAATGAAAGAATCTTAAATTTCTTTAGAACACATAGTTAAAATTACACAAGTTTGAAATTAAAAAAAATTTAATCAATTTTTATTTCAACATTAAATGAAAATACCTTGACATAATTTGCAATATTAATTTTCTATAAACTAAGTATTTATTTTGATTAAAAGTAAATTATTTAAACGTATCCCTCTGAATATGCCGTTCCAATGATTATGTAACAAATGAGCTAGTTTGTAATGATAGCGGGTCCATCACTATGGATGTTTTAGAAATGAATAATTAATACAGTGGTGTAATTATAGAGAAAGTGCAATAGAAAATAGATTACTGAAGTTCTATAATAATCCTAGATAATAGAGTTTGTTATATCATGAAATATTCTTAACAATAATAACAAACCGGTCTTAATTATTATCTTTCAACAGTGTTTAAAGCTCAATAAAATAACTCATGAGTTGGCTACACTGCAATGCACATAAATCCGTTGAAAGGAAACTATAATAATAAAAAAAAACTGTGCGCTTCATGAAATATTTCCCCTCTCTCTAGCTACTGTGGTGGCGCTCTAACCGTCGTTTGCCGACGACAACGACCAGAATGCCCACCGGCTCACAGCCGTTTGCTCATATTCATATTCAACGTTGAGCACATTGTTGTTGTGGCGTGGTGAGGCTCGGGGGTCCGTTTATTTGTCCGACAGTGCATCGCCGTCGGTTACCGAGTGTTGTGTTGATTGTGTGTCCTCGTACCCCGTCGTCTCCGTCTTGTATACTTGCTGCAGAATATATACAGCATTCCTCGTAACCGTCCGAGTGTATTGGTATGTTTTTGCCGTTCGTCGTGTCTCTGTTGTGATAGTGTTTTTGTTTATTTATTATTTTTGATAATATTGTTTTTCTTGTTAACACTGTTCGTATTATTTTTAAAATCAAGTGATTGTGGCATGACAGTTTTAATTTTATTTGATTCTGTGCAATTCAGAAAAGCCGTTATCGGCCATGGCTTTTGAATCGGTACAACAGGTGTTCACAGCCACCGTTGGCTTTTGTGCCGATTTTAAATTGTCGTTGAACTTGCCCGGTGCGAGTAGATAATGTATTTTAATCATTAAGTGATAGTAACTGTATTTTTTTTAATTTGTAAGTGTTCATTTTTTATTCTTTACGTTGAAGTGAAGTTTTCAAAGTGTGTTGTATTCACAATGGAAGAAGAAGAGAGATACTATATCCACCGTTACAGACGAGATTTTTTACTCACGATTACGATTTTATTAGCAATTTTTATTAGTTCCTCTCAAAGTCGTAAGTAGTTACTTTTAGTGTATTAATTTTTTTAAAGAAATCATAGTCTTATGGTAATAGTGTACTTATATTTATTAATCTTTAGAATCTCTTCAACCACCGCGGTTTATTACACAGCCATCATCTACAAAAAATTTAGTCAGTGAAGGACAAACTAAAATGCTTCAATGTCAAGCTCTTGGTAAGTTAAAACAAATTAATTTAATTTAATTATACAATTTTAAATACAGTTTCAATGTATTACATGATCTGTGACTAAATCAATTTAATTTGTTATGTTTCATTGATTATTGAAAACATTCTGTTTTAACCCTTTCTTTTGTCATATTAACTATTGGTAATGTAATATTTAATCTTTATAAAAGTATACACTTTTTATTCATGTTAATGTAATGATACATGAAATTATCCTTTTAGTTGTTTATATGCTACATTTTTTTCTACAAATATATATATATATATATGCTCTTCTATAGTAGTATGTGGTACTTAATTCTTTCCTAAAATATAGCTGGTAAAAATATTGACCCTCTAACGATATTTTAAATCAACCATAATTGTAGACAACAAATGTTTAAAATGTTCATTATCTATTCACTAATTCACAGTGGAGACTTTAATGCCTTTTGAAAAATTTATGCATTATTAAAATATTTGTTTTTTTTATTTAGAAATATTCCATAATTTTATTGAATTAGTATTTTATAATTAAAAAAAATTACTTCAATTGGTTATAATTATAGAATTTAGGGAAACATTTATTATAATAAAATATTTAAATAGTATGTTGTTGAATTTGTAATTTTTATTTTTAATCCTTATTTGAGTATTAATTTTTTTTTTTTTTTTAATTTGAATTAAGTTTAATTATGTTGCTATTAATTTTGTAACCTAATCCAACCAAAAATCTTATCCTAAAACAAGGGTCATAATCTGGTAACAATTTATCATGACTCATTTCTAGACTTGATTTAAACCTATTTATAACTTATTTTACATCACATCTTTATACAAGATTCTAAGCTAACAATTCTGATCTAGTTAAACATCTGTTCGGATATACAATTTAGATTTTTTTTTTAAATATATTATCTATCATTTTGTAGTATAAGATTGTCAGTTTTATTTGAATAATAGGTAAAAATAAATAAAAAGAACTTTATTACATTATTATGAGGACAGTATTTACAGAAAGTGCTGCCAGAGATATGATATTTACCATCCCATAGGTGGTATATAAAAAATGTTGATATTAATTATTAATCACAAATATTAAAATATTTGATGAATTTAATTTAGCCTCTCTCTCTGATTTTTTTCCTGAATTTTTGGTAGGACTAATTTTGTTTTTGGAGAAGTCCCAAACTAAGCTTATTCTCATCATAGTTAGCTCTTTATTACATTAGATCACTTATGATTAAAGTTATGGTTAAAAATTAATGTTGATGAATTATTCAAAAAATAGCTATGATAATTTCAACTTTAACTCTTAACATTTAATAAAACAAAAAAAAATTAATAGTAACAATTCATAGGTAATAAAAGATATTATCAATTTTAAAATTGTTTTAAATTTCTTTTGAAATTTTTTACATTTTTAACCATTAAAAATATTTCTCAGAAACAAATGCTATCCTGTGCCACTATTTAAATACGAGCCTGGTTTTTATATTTATTTTGAAACTCTTGTTTTAAATTTGGTAGTGCTAAATTCAAAATTTTCATATTAATTAAAAAGTTTAAAATTATATTAAATAATAAAGTTTAAGAAAATATTTTTTACAAATATTTTATACTTTATACAAT